TTATAATGACAAAAATAACTAAATAAGAACACATGTATTTACAAAGATTAAAAACATATTTAAGATAATATTATATTACGTTTCATCATCATGAATTCTTAACTCTAAAATTAAATATTTTTTATTTTAATGATATGTCCTAAACAAATAAAATGAAGATTAATATTTTTATAAAAATTTAAATAATATAAATTAGTTCGTGAAACATGTTTTTAATATATAAATTATAAGAATAGTTTAAAATATTTTGTCTTTCTCACACACGTAAACACATATACATACACATACATATACATACGTATGCACATATTTTTTTACATTCTTAATTACTTATTCTATATTTGTAAGAAAATTAGATTTGTAAAGAAATAATTATATAAAATTTAATTTTAATAATGGTATATTCACATAATTATATAAATAACTAATTTTTTTATATATTATTATAATTTTTTTTAATCATTTAAGTGATTAAATACGAAAAATTTTAAGGATTAAATATAAAATAATTCATACGTATGTACCTCTCTGTTTATATATACTCGAAAAGTTTTAAATATTAAATATAAAATAACTTTGACGGCGGAATTTCCGCTAGATTGACTTTGTTTTACATTAATCAACACATTTTTATCAGAAAGCTGAAACCGTCTTTCTGTAAACATAAAACAATTAAAATATATATAAATAAATGCTTTTTTTTCTTTATCTTTGGTGGAATGTTACTGAATCTGGAAAAGAAGTCACTAATTAATTTATGTAAATTAAAGACACTAATTAATTTACAGGGTTCACTGAACCTTTTTACAAATTAATATTATGATTAAACGGTTCTTAATTTTTTTAAAGTTCTGTATCAAAATATATCAACGCATTAATTAATTAATGAGATTAATTTTCTGAAAAAGAAAAGACCTGATATTGTTGAAAGAGATGAAAATTGAATAAGTAACTCTGTCTAGATTTATTGTACAATTAGATTTTTCTTCATTTTTTTTTAACGCCAACTTAGACTTAGAAAAAGTCAACTGCTCCAAATACATCAAAATAAAATAAAACAAACAATAACAACAACAATAAAGTTAAAATAATTTGTTTTCTCTAATATAATTTTTTATTTAATCTTATTTTGAATTTGTTTTATTTTGCTAAATATATTAGTTTTGTCGTTAATTTTTGTACATTAATAAAATTAATTTTAACTGCCAGGAAACACCAAGACCGCAAGTATTTTTCTTCCTTCCACAACATATTATTCCATAATTACGATGTGGGGATTTGAAACTTTGACACTCTCATAGACAAAGCTGGATTATTTGAAATTTAAAAGAATCATACTTAAACAGCAAATTTCAGACAACGACCAGGTCTAATAATAATAAACAAAGAAACAAGAGTAGTATACTAGACATCTAGAACCAATAAACCACGAAATAAAAAATAAAATTCTTCAGCCATGTTTTTGTTTTTTATGCATTCCACTCCTTATATATGAGAGTTCCACACTAGAGTTTAAACGCAAGTCAGGTAGCTCTGGTTCATATCTGGTTTCTTGGTTTGGTCTAAAAACATCTTTCTCCATCTCTTTCTCTCACTGATTTGAATAGCCATGGCCTTCTGTGGCACCTTGGTTAAGCCTTCTGTGTATCCATGCCACAAACACTTGGTTCCAAGTCCAAACCATGGCTGCATAAACAAGGTTGGTGAATCACATGTACATATATGTAGCAACCCCTTTTGATCTTACCATATAACAAGGCCAAACACCATCTCTTTGAACATGATACTGGGGTTTTGTTTCTCATTTCCTTTTTGTTACTCTTTTGGTCCCATAAGGGGTCACTCTTGTTCCTTTCGTTAGCAAAAAATGACCATGATTTTTTCACTTATGGTGCAATTATGGCTTATGTGTGATTGTGTCTGTGTCAGTTCTGTGTGAGAGCTTCAGCAAGTGGCTCAGGTGATGGTGAGAGGACTATTATAAGGAAAGAGAAAGATGGGTGGAAGATCAAATTCTCATCAGAGAAACCAGCAACACCATTGTTGGACACAATCAATCACCCAATTCACATGAAGAATCTAACTACACAGGTCTAAAACTGGCACTCAACTGTTAAGGGTCATGTCATAGATAATTTCTTGTCTGTGGCTGCCAAAACCGTTTTTTTTTTTCTTAAGACTTTTGTTGGTTTGTTTGTAAAAGTATGCATGTATTTGTCAGGATCTTGAGCAACTTGCAGCAGAGCTGAGGGCAGATATTGTACACAGTGTGTCAAACACAGGAGGGCATCTCAGCTCAAGTTTGGGAGTGGTGGAGTTAACAGTGGCTTTGCATCATGTTTTTGACACCCCTGAAGACAAGATTATATGGGATGTTGGCCATCAGGTAATCTTTATTCCTATTTTCTGCTCTTGTTTTCCAATAGAAAATTAAATAGGAAAAAAAGGGGGGGGGGGGGGGAAAAA